TTCCATTAAATTTTAATAATCAAAAAGGGAGTGGACAAATTTGTTAATTTAAAAAAAAAAAAAAAAAAAAGTAGCCTCAAATGTCGACATGCTGTGCGGATAGTCTGGAGTAGAGCTCTGCGCGGAACTGTTTCGTAATGTCGCTCCCACTGAATTTCTGACCATTACCGCCCGCTACCGCAATGTGCGGGTATTGAAATCGCTTTTGAATGCGCGCTCGCTGTTCACTTTAACTTTCAATTTTGCGTTCATACGCACTCTGTGTAAAGGAGCATATTTAATCTTACACGATCAGATATTTGTCAGTGAGTTCAGGATCTGCTGAGCAGCAAATACTCCAGCATGGTCTGTCAGTCATCTATTCTACTCTCGACCCGTGATCAGTCAAGCTCGTGTTGTATGCAGGGTTGCAAAGTCCGCGTTTTTTCCACGGAATCGGGGGGTGGGGGTGGGGTTAAACTGTTTAAACTGATAGTATTAATTGGTCAATTTTTCTACTTTCGGTTAATGGTTAAACAGTTAATATGAGCATCCCTAGACCGGTGTGTAAAACTCTTGGATGTATTTTAAAGATTCTATGCTGCGAACTTTAAAGAACAACAGAGCATCGTGGCGAACTTTAAATATTTCACATACTTTTGAAAATCCATCGTTTAGTGGATCCTGATAAGCGCTCGTTGTCACAGTTGTAAAGCTTTCTTCTTTTGTGAGGGGTTTTGGCATCACGGCATCTTTGTTTCCTGGTGGAAAGTTAAAGAACGTGACACACACATCTCCCGGAAATCCTGTATAATTCAACCAATCCGATGACGACTTCGAAACTCCTGAAGTGTTTCCACTTTTGTGTGCCATATGCATCAGACGTTCAGCCAACGGTCCGTGGGCGTGACATCTGAGGCTGAGACTAATAAGGCTCGTCCTGACAGCAAGCAACATACATTTTGCAAAAATGGTATAGCCCACATTAAGTGTAGGTAGACATTAAATGCATGTTTAGTATTCTACACGTAACACAGGTGAGTGTGTGTTATTTTAGTATTATATACTATTATAGTTTTTATTAATATTTTGAATTGGCTTTTATATTATACTTTAAATTTTCATTTTAATTTTAGTTATATTTGTAGTAATTTATGCTTTTGCCATTTTATTAGTTTTATTTTTTAAATATTACTAGTTAGGTTTACTTTAGTTTTTTTAGTTTTTAGTTTTTTTTTTACATTTTATTTCCAGTTAGGAATTTTAGAGCTTCAACTAAAAAAAGTTTCGATCATATATTTATTTATATTTTATTTGATTTCAGATATGTTTTAACTAACAATAAATGTTTTAAATAGTTGAACTTCTAGTTTTAGTTAACAATAACTGTGTAGTTAACATTTCTCTGTTTTTTTTTTTAAAATAATTTTTAATTTAGTGATTTGAACTTCTGCTTTAAAATAGTAACCAATCAGCAGCTGGTTTTTGAGGGGTTTAATGTGTAAATATATTTTAACATTTTCTTTGCACATAAAGTAAATCATAGCCTACATAGTTACAGTCACTATATTTGTTTTCATAGCCTTCAAATTGCCCATTATTTGGGCCAACATTGAGCAGAATGTGGAATAACATTTTTATTTTTAAATAATGGATTAAAATATAATTTTTTTTGTTAAATAAAAACTCCACGCATACCTATTCTTTCACTCCTCTATGTTCTGTCTGATTATCTGTCTCTTTATGCTGTGGTTTAAGGTGCTTTCACTGATTCTGATTGCCTGTAACAAAACAAACAGATTTTATGTCTTTTTAGGCATTCTGCATGGAAGATTACAGCAATAGAAGGTGCTTATCCACTGTATATTCAAAACAGAAAGTAGATTAGCGTCAGTCTTTCGACATTTTAAACAATCACTAACCACCCATCAGATAGGCATGCGAAAAAGTGGCTCCATTTTCCTGTCTTAGAGTTGTCACCTTAATTACACTTCTTTGAAAAGCCTAACAACTACAGCAAATGAAGGCTTAAAATGAGGCTGTATCTGATTGCGTTGCAAAACAACCCAGCAAAGCAGGTGGACAAATGATTCATACTGTTTGTCTTGATTGCACATCGGTGTCCTGACTAATAGCAACTGTTCCTTAAGATGTAGTGTGCTAGTTGTATGTACTAGGGCTGCAGCTAATCACTGTTTTGATAACTAATTAAACAGTTGATTATTCTCTGTATTTTATTGAAGAAAAAATAACATTCAACATCATGCTCAGAGTTCTTTTTCAATACAGTGTGCAGATTCAGGCTATATGTATGTATGTACAAATATTACAGGATTACAAATATTTAAAGCAAAACCAATTTTTGCATTACATGTAGAATTTCAATTAAATATGGCCAATTTTAAACCTAAATTTAATGTCCAAAACAAATATTTAGCTGATTTATTCAATGCATTTTTATACTCTGTATTTTATAGAAAAAAATCCACATCATGCACAGTGAGTTGTATTGAAGTCTATATGTATGTATTTAAAAAGATAAAAAATATTTGCATTACAAAACAAACAAATGTCTCCTACTTGTTTTGCATTTCACATAGAATTTCAATTAAATATGGTCAATTTTAAACCTAAATTTAATGTCCAAAACCAATATTTTAACATTTTTGTCAGTTTCTTCAATCCATTTTTATACTCTGTATTTTATTGAAAAAAAAAAAAATCACATCATGCTCAGAGTTCTTATCCAATTCAGTGAGCAAAGTGAACTCTATATGTATGTATTTAAAAATGTTTACATTACTAAAACAAACAAATATCTCCCTAATTTTTTGCAATACACATAGAATTTCAATTAAATATGCTTAATTTTAAACTTAAATTTTATGTTCAACATCAAATGTTATATCATTAATATTTTAGTCAATTTATTCAATCCATTTTTATATTTTGTATTTTATTGAAAAAAAAAATTCACATCATGCTCAGTTTTTATCCAATACAGTGAAACAAATTTCTATAAAAATATCATTATTAGCGTTACATGTAAAATTTTAATTATGTATGGTTATTTTAAACCTAAATGTAATGCCCGACAGCAAATATTTTATATTATTAATATTTTAGTCAATTTATTCAATCCATGTTTCAATCATTAACTGCTGTAGAGTGACTTCAA